GTGTGTGTGTGTGTGTGTGTGTGTGTGTGTGTGTGTGTGTGTGACTCACCCTGAGAACCTGACAGTGTATGTGTAGTCAGAGGACGTCACACTCCAGCGAAGATGTGTGGTGAAGTCCAGAGACACCCAGTGGACGTCTTGTGCTCTGGGGACTGAGTTCACATCTGTGAATAAAATAAAACATCATCAGTATTTTCCAGTTTTCCATGACTCCTGCTTCCTGTTTTCTTTGGGTTTTTGTGTTTGTTTTTATTTTACAATAACTGAATTGAATGAAGGATCTTAATGAACCATTTATTTAAGCTGGAGAAAATGATGACAACTCCCTCAACATCTTCATACTCGTAATCAGAACCAAATTAAAGTCTGTGAGTCAGCAAAGGTGAGCACAGGTCAAAAATGAGAGTTTTACATAACAGAAAGTTATACATTTTATAAAATCATAAAGCGAATGCATCTGTTAAAAACTGTAGTGGAAGATTTTGTTTAGTTCAGCACATTTAGAAAATCCCCACATCTGTGCACCGTCATGGAATGGTTAATGAGTACTCCATTTCTAATATGTTTTATTCACAGACGCCTTTCAAAACACTCAAGTTTACGATACAAGCAATTCAATTACAAGTCACAGTATGGATCAAATAAAAGTTGGAAGATGTCGTAGAATTAAAAGTCTGTACAACAGAGTTTTCAGACTGAGAGCGAATCAATATTTCAAACATGGTGGTGGGAGAGCTAAAGATGAGGGGCAAATCGGTTCAAGGCTCTGAAGCCCAGAGGGGGTCCGATGAGCAGATGGCATAATGACAGTAAGCGAGAAGGAGGATCTCAGAGTACAGGAAGGAGAGGTGATGCGATGAATATCACATTATTACACAACGGTACGTGTTCCTACCAGACGAAGCTCAGTTTGTCACTGTTTAATTTAAGAAAATTAGCAAACAACCAATATTTAATTTTGCATAAGCAGTCAGTGAGAGCAAAACTTGATGGAAAGCTAGATGTCATCAGAGTAAGAATAAAAATGCAAAAGCAGTTTTCTTTCAAATGTGACCAGAAACCCACGGGACCATCCCACTGCTATTTTCTAAATATTCAAAATTTCTTTCAGATTCTCTGTAATATTTCAGAACATCTGTAATTGTTGGACATTTTACTGCATCATAATACCAAGCATGAAACTGTAAGTCCTGTGTAAGATGCTTAACTCTTCTGTCTGTGTTCTCTATCAGATGAAGTAGAGCCTGCTGTGTTGTAAGGACTAAACTTTGATATGTGATATGCTAAAACTGAAACGAGACATGACACTGGTGTCTAGGTAAAATGTCTAACACCAGTCGCCTCTGTCTGTCTGTCTGTCTGTCTGTCTGCCGATCATGTGCTGTGTGTTTTACCTGCAGTGGTTATGCCGAAGGCAGACAGAGAGAGTCCCAGCCAAAGCAGAGTTTTTGCAGTTGCCATGTTAGTACCAGCGTGTCCTTTCTCTGTCCTGATCTGTCCTGATCTGTTAGCTGAAGAGAGCAGAAGGAGCTGAAAAGGATTGGTGCCGCTTCCGTTCAGCTGCACACACAAGGGTAATGGGGTGGGGTATGCTGATCCTTCCCACATGTTTGCCTCAACATTGGGGAATGGGGGAGGAGATGTTCTGAAACAATTTGCTCAATCCGAACTGTTTTCCTTCTTATTCATCCCCTTTACGACGTTTACAGGAATTGGACTGCGATCGTGCAGTGTGCAAACCTTTGCAAAAGAATGCTTATATTTACGTTTAACCTGTCTTATCATGAAGTTCTTCTTTGTGGAAAGGAATTCGCCTGCACTCCACGGTCTGTCTGTTCAATGGTGTTTTTGTGAGTGCATGCAGTTTGATGCCCTGTTGCCTTGACAACTAATAGGCTTTGTGTGAGTGGTTCAGTTTTACTAACTTCTAGGTTGCCAGGAAACTTGTTTCTTTCTAGTTTCACTCAGCAGCAATGCATACAAATACCACACAGTACAAAATAGGATGCATTATTACAGTTTTTGCTCAGTCGCTTTGAAACATTTCCCAAAACACTTTTAAAGTTCTCAGCAGTGAAGACATATTTCCATAAACATGTATGAAATACACTGCAGCTCACCCAGAGCCTCCGTTCATATTTTAAAGTCACATGTTTGTGTCAGTGAAAAGGTCACTGCCAACAAAATTAAAGGTTTAGAAATGTTGTAAGAATAATTTCTCACCTTCCAATTTCACAGTCAGGTCCAAAACATTTGCTACAGTATACTTGAGCTTGAAAAAACCTGTTAGGGATGACTGGATGTTATTGCAGCAAATACTTCTCCTCACTATGGAACAGGTGAAGAACCAGCAAGTACACATGATTCAGTCCACTGCAGTGAGATTTATGTGTTGGGCATTCAAAAAGCTCTTGATTCATCAGGACAGAAGGTTTCTTGGCAGGATGAAGGAGATCCTGCCAAGAAACATGAAATGTAGATTGTTCATTTGGTAGAAATGTTAATGTATATTATAATTCCAACAAAGCTTCATCTTGGAATATGACTGGCAGCTGTAAGTCTGACAAAATGTCAGCATATTTAAGTGCATATAAATGCATGGTTATCATTTGATGATATTTCATCTATAAAAACATGAATTATTTAATATTTTCGGAAACTTGGGAGAAACTAAGCTATTGAAGTAACCGTGAGGAAGAACTGAGGCTTTTAGTTTGTTAAAAAACTAAAAATATATCACTTTGTTGTTCTAATGTCGGTTGTACAAATGCAACAAAAAACAAGACATTTATGAGAACTTTTACAGACTCTACCTTCCCTTTGCTCTCCATCCATTAGTCCCTTGGGTGAGCAGAGCAGGGAAAAATGCCAAGGAATGTGGCTGTGAAGAAAACAGTCAGCTCTTTTATATGCTTGTGGGAATTCATGCTTCCCATGATTTCACCTATTTCAGATCATCTAAAAGCCTCACTGGGAGCCAGTAACTATGTGGGAAAAGTTCAGCAGTCGCAGTCATTTCCATGAACCCTTCTGGTATCACGTAAGCACCAGAGTGACAAACGTTGGACCCTCCTCCACATGTACGCAGGAACACACATTTACTCCAAAAACCCACAAGCGTACAAAGTATTTGTCTTTTTTGGTTAGTTTTACTCCAGGATTGTTTTGTGCATTTCACTTTGTCCAGGAAACGATGATGATGTGGATTAAATACTGGAAACAGCTTTACGTGGTAAAGCGTGTGTTGTTTCTTCTAGGATTTCCTGCGTTAAAGTGTCGGAGCATCTGCTTTGCTTCTTCTCAGCACTGGTTAATAAACAAAGCATTGCTGTAAACAATGAGAGCCCGGACACATGTTTCTGATCACTGCAGCACCAACACCAGCGCACACATGCAACACGAAATCAGTGTGATGGTGCAGCCAGTCTTGTAAAATTCACTGCTCAACAACCAAGTCAGTGTTTCCATCAAGTAAACATAGTGACAGGTCCAAAAGTAGTTGTTTTTCCTTTTTTAAGTGCAGTTTAACAGTAAATGAAGGGTTTCACAAAAGTATTGCATTAACCTTTAAAGAATGAAAACCATTTCTATGCGCAGTTCTCCATTTTCAGAGGCTAAAATGCACCATTAACTGGAAAGTATTTTCCTGGTGTGGTGAGGCCTGCTTCCTCATTACTTCATAACAAATAAAGCAAACAAAACATATGCAGTTGATTCCAACTCTGGAATTTGCATCTGGTAACTTTTAAGGCTTTTAATTCTCAATGAGGCCCAGCGAAGACGAAGAGGCCGAAAACCCCAAACAAACTATCAGACAGAGCAAAACCTCTACGTACATACGTACATTGTTAAATGAAGGAATACTTTGGTAAACACAGCAACACTGTCTCTGGTGGGCTCTACAGCCCGCAACATACAGTGAGCTCTCAGTCTATTGAATGCAGATTTTGTAAACAGAAAACTACTGTAGAAAAGTGTCTCCAAAGCCTGCCTGCGTAGTCGCAGTGATGCTGTTCTTCTCTTTTTAGAATAATAAACATCCACCCAAGCAAACTCTGAAAATCACCACTAATCCCGTCTGTGCTGTACTCAGCCAAGTGCTGTCCCGAGAGCTTTAAGTGGTGCCTTAGACTTAATTTGTAGACATAAGACAGAAAGGCTTGACTAACAAAGTGTAATATTTCAGCAGCGTCCTCCCTATGCTGGAATGTCGAAATCTAATGAGTGATAGTCATGTAAGGAATGCCAGTTTCACGGAAGGAGTCAGCATGGTGTTCACAAGGTTGCAAGGAAATTTAATGACTCACCCGGTCACTCTGACACATCTCACTCAAGTACCTGACTCACGTCGTAGCAGTGTACATGTCTGCCTGTGCTGTTAGTTCACACCAGGCTGCTTTACGTAGAGTGAACATTCAGGCCTCCTGCTTTGCTGTGTGGAGTCACACAGCTATGATCTCGCAGTCCTAAAATGCCTGTCAGCTGCAACATTCAAATCCCAGCTGGTGTCTTTCTGTTTTCAAAACACGTGTACTCGTTAAATCCATGGAAAATTTGAAATAAAAGGGACAATAAATACAGCACAGTGATGAGTTTATCTCTTAACACTGGGACTGTGTCTATGCTGGTTAACAGCATGTTAGCTGCTGCTGCTTCACCAACAGTAGAACCAGCAGTGTTGGGCAAGTTGTTTGGAAGTAATTAATTATAGATACTAATTACTTCTTCTTCAAAAAAGTAACTGAGTTAATAACTAAATTACAAGATTCTAAAAGTAATTAATTACTAGGAAAAGTAACTATTGTGTTACTTAAAAAAGTTGTTTAACCCTCTGGGGTCCAGGGTATAATTGCCCATTTTTAACTACTTCTGATGTTTCCTCCACATTTCACCTTTAAAACGATTTTCTTTGCCTTGTTTCGTATTGTGGCGGACCACCAGGTGGCTCCACTCACACCCAAGTTGAAGGGAAGTGCTGGGGTGGAGATTTTGGTGCTTACTATATGTGAAGTTCTGAGAGTCAGTTAATAAAGTTGGAGTGAGACACTGAGACCTCTCCTGTCGTTATTACATACCTCCACAGTATCATCCTTTTCAGCACTACCTCACGTGTCTGAATTTACAGTCATGTTTTCATTTTGACTACAGTATTAACACAACTGATCTAAAATCAGACAAAAAACATAAAATCCAAGTAGAAAAAGTTATTTTTACTGTAACAACCACAAACATGTTTAATGAATCGTAGTTCGTAACTTTAAATGTAAATATAGTTTATAAATTTTAAAATCCTGTCATGGTCAGCGAGGCAGACCGTGGGGAAGTGGGGAAGGACCCAAACGCTGGACTCTGTGCAGTGAACAGTTTATTTACAGTGCAGAAAAGGACAATAAATCCACATGTGCTGAGCAGCAGGTGAGTGGCATGGTCTTCAGGTGTGGCCAGCTCTCCTGCAGGGCCACACCCACCAGGCCTACGGGTGCCTGTCACCCAGCCTACAGGAAACAGCCACACCTGCAGACACACACGCACACATGCCTGCGTATACATACAAATGTGGAACACAGAATGGCAGCACAGTGTAGCAAAAATACAAATAATAATAACAATAATAATGAGAGTCCACACTGCTCAAGGACCCTGGGTCACTCACACCCACCTGACCTACAGGTCAGTGGCCACTCTTTCAGTGATGAGGATATGCACATCCTGGACCGGGAGGAACGCTGGTTTGAGCAGGAAGTCAAGGAGGCCATTTACATGAAAAGGGAAAGGCCACCTTTAATTTGAGGAGGGGGGCTAAGGGTACATCTGTCACCATCTTACAATACTGTGATTGTAGTTATTCCCCAACTCTCTGTGAATGGCACTCATGGTCTCTGATCAGTGGTTTTTGATTAATGGTTATGACAAGTTGCATGTTGGTGATCAAGAAACTGATCTCACAGTCCATTGTTCGCTAGTGGTGCTAGTTTGTGCAACTTTTATTGGGCGAAGCAGGGCTTTGTGCAAGGGCGCTGCTAGGATCATCTCAGTGGAAGGGGTTACATGAAGAGGACATGGAAGCTATGGAAACATGGAACCTGTGATGCCCAACTTCTAGACTAACTGCAAAACAACTAGTAACTCAGTGTTCCACCATTTAGAAGGCGCATCTGCTATCACAAGTGGAGCTCAATGAGGTACAACACAAATGCTATGGCAAGGGGCAGTCATCAGGTCAGGGGGGTGATATCATCATCCACACCCAAGATAGGGTACCTTAAACACAATTGTTCATATAAATCCTCTGAGGATCTACTAGATGATGTGAATGCGGCACTACGGACAATACCTACCGCCACCATTACCGAGACTAACAAGTGGGGCTGAGTATCATCACTGATTTCTAGAATCAATCGATTCCAGTTCACAAGGTCCCGAATCGATTCAATCCACGAATGGATTCGATTCAATTCGATTTGAATTTGGGAAATTTTGCCTCAGACAGTCAGAAATATTATAATTCTAAACAGAATGTCTGTGAAGGTTCTCAGTCATCCAGGTCATCGTAGTCAAAGGAGCTTGCAAAGAAAAGCGTCTGGACTTCTTTAAGTTGCAACTTAAAGAAGTCCAGACGCTTTTCATCCAC